CATTTTCTGGGGATTTAGTTATACCAAAACAAGAAACAATTAAATTTGATTTAATTTTACAATAATTCAATGCCTGAAATTAATTATATAAATAAAATCAATTAATTTAAATTAAAATAAATGGTTTTGATTTAAATAAGAACAATTACCTCATCAAAAAAAGGTTTTCCTGGATTATTTGAATTATTTAATGATTTTAATACTACAATCTGAGCTCCACAATAACTAAACTCCTTTTTATTTTCATCATAATCATCAATAGTTCCTCTTGTCCATACAGCAGTATAAATAGAACTGAATCCACCCTCTGTTAACTTTTTTATATCATAAAATTGCTCATAAGGTATCCATTCTATAATTTGACCTGGAAGAGATGAAAGCTGTTGACACTCTTGAATAAAACCATCAATTATCTCATTTCCAGATGTCCAAGTGCTGAAAAGGCTCTGTAAGTGTAGACTAATACACTTTTCACAATATTTATCAGAGTATCTTGTTGTCTCACAATTATTGCATTCTCTTGGCTCACCATATTTGTAAACTGCATTATTTAATTCAAACCCATAAATAAACCTTTTTCTACAAAATTCCTTTTCATTTTCTAATAATACTTTATTTTCTTTGACTAATTGTAAAAAATTACTTTTTTGTTTTTCTCTGTTAGAAAGAGTTGGAAAAGCAGAATAAGCAATACTATCCATTTCATTAAAAATTTTACATGCTAACTCTCTTCTGTCCTGCGTTAATAACTTTTCGAAGGACATTTTAATATTTATTTTAAAAAAAAAAATAATAATTTTGTATACTTTGACACAAATTTCTTTTTTGTGACAATCCGTCTATAAATGATACAACTTACTGCGCCTCCGAGAATAAAAATTCTACGATAACGGGATTTCCAGTAAGCTGTCTGGTCACGTGACTGCAACGATCATTCCATAAACAACATGTGGAAGTTTGATTTTATTGGATATAAAATGTGACCAAAATTAGAAAAATTTAGGGAAAATCAAGATTTATATGGAATATGTAACATTGAACAAAAAATTTAATGTGTATATAAATATATATACACACGAGAGTTTTATTCCTATATTACCACTACCACTACCACATTAGAGCAAGTTAAATCTTTCAAAGAAATGTTCTATTTATGAATTGATTATAAAGTATTAATATTTATTATTAATATATGTCAGCATATCCATGTCCATTTACCATATTATATTGTACACAGATATAGATGGCGTCTAAGTTGTTTTTGGGGTTGTCTAAAGTCAAAATAGTATTTAGACCAGTGCTGGCTGTGTAACTCAAATGAGCACTTGGCTAAACTGACTAAACTATTTTAGTCATATGTTAAGTCAAGTTTAGTCAAGATGATTGTTACTAAATTAGGTTTTTAACCCCTTTACACTGCCAGCCCTGATTTAGACAAAAATGTCTAAATGTCTAAATTAATATAAATAGTAATGATTTGCTTTAAATACAACTGAAAGTCACGTGTATATACACAAAATCCACAAAGTTCATTAAATTATCCAATAAAAAATTTAATTTCAGCAAAAACTCTTTCTTAAAAATCTTTTCCCACTGGGGCGCAGCCAAAAAATTTTTTTTTGAGAGTCAATTTTTTTCTAGAGAACATTAAAACAATATACATAGTATAAGTATTAAAAAAGACAAACTTCCAACTTCAAGAATAGTTGTGGGGAGGGGAGTGGAGGTGTTGAAGAAGTCAGTTTTTTGTAAAAAAAATGAAACAAAAACTTTTATTTCTCTAATAAAAGGTTCAACAACAAAAATAATATTTATTGTTATCAATAAAAAGATAACAAGTAACAACACAAATTTCAAGAAACAATGGTGGGTTTTTCGATGTTTCTTGACAAGATGTCTTACATGATCAATGAAATGGGGTGCTTCAGCTTAATTCTCTTTTTTTTTTTGAAGAAAAGAGGCCATGTGGAGATTGTGTATGACACCAAGTCGCCTCAAATGGATACTTTTAGTATTACGGGGGGGGGGGTTGTGCATTTAAAATTGTTTTATTTTATTATTATGTAATTTTCTTTTTTTTTAATTTATATGTAAAATTCAAACCAATAAAATGTCACAGCAAGACTACATCATTAAACCAAAAAAAAAAAAAAAAAAAAATAATTTCAGCATTGAGACCATGATTGTCTAAATGACTAAATTAATTTATATTTTAGACTTGTCTAAATAATTTAGTTTAGACACCCATCTATAGTTGAAATTAATATTTATTGTTATCAATAAAAAGATAACAAGTAACAACACAAATTTCAAGAAACAATGGTGGGTTTTTTGACATTTCTTGACAAGATGTCTTACATGGTCAATGAAATGGGGTGCTTCAGCTTAATTCTCTTTTTTTTTTTTGAAGAAAAGAGGCCATGTGGAGATTGTGTACAACGCCAAGTCGCTTCAAATGGATACTTTTAGTATTACGGGGGGGAGTTGTGCATTTAATAGTTCTATTTTTATTATTATGTAATTTTCTTTTTTTTTAATTTCATATGTAAAATTCAAACCAATAAAATGTCATGGCAAGACTACGTCAACAGGAGAGACCGTCCTATATAAGGAAAGGATGTTCACAATTGATTTCAATTTTTTTTATACAGTTTAGAATACT